GATGCGGTATATTCGTTGAAAGAAAAAAAACCGATTAAAGGATTTAAAACAATAATTGATAAGGATATCCGTAATATTCTTTTAATATATGAAACAGAAATAGCTAAATATATATTGTTTTTCTATATAAATAGAAAGATACTCTATATTTTTAGTATATAAGTTAACTAGTTCTGATATAACGTTAGCCAGTACCAACATTAAGTGCCTTTTATTGTAACGGTTGAGAGTTATACTAATGAAATCATAGGCCTTTTAGACAAAATTTTTTACTAAATCGATAAACCATCCTGTTGGGAGGATAGGATGGTTGATCGTTACGTTCTATTTACTTTTTTTTATGAATAGAGCTGTTACTATAGGTAAACATGGTAAAAAAAGAGTAAGTGTAAAATTTTACAAAAATATACGCGAGCGAAAGAGCAAAGAGAGGAAGGGAGAGAGAGAGAGCGAAATAGATAGAGAGAAAGAAAGATAGAAAGAAAGAGAGAGAAAGAGAAGGAGAGAGAGAGAGAGAGAGAGATGACTCACGACGTTAAGTAGAGAGAATAAATGACTATAATGTCTAGTAGTTGTAAAGGTGGAAGAGGCTTGTTTCTGTTATTTTCTTTAATAATTTCTTACTTTGTAAAATGTCATTTTGGACAGGTATGGAGGAAGTTTCATCAGTTTTCCTTTTTATACTCATACTGCTTACGTTTAAGAATGTTCTATCAACCTTTTATCTTTATTATTATTAATATTATTTTTAAAGGATGTTAATTAAGAACTGCGCTCATAAATATCTTAAGATTTAGGCAAACGTCTTCGTATTTAAATTGTTGTTTGTTTATGATTCTGCGCAACAGCTTTATCGATGGGTGAAAGATAAAGTAGTTAGTTAGGCTACAACCGTCTAAATCAAATATCCTCATTCTATTCATGAAGACGCCAATAGCTATTTGGGATACTATTTAGGAAACAATATGTTGTACGTTAGAAATACAGTAGTTTCCATAATTAGTGCGAGTCTGTTAATTGGTTTTAAGTGAATATCCTTGAGATAAGCTCTGTCTGTAGGAGATAATTACTAAATATGAGACAATAAATAGTCATCATTTTCAAACGGGCTAGTCGACGTCATACAAAACCTAATTCGCGACAACGCATTAGACGTCAAAGCACCAAAGTCCCGGGGAATTTTCCCTTAGCTAGTATACCAAGTATATAGAAGCGACCGGGCGTCTACCAAGTAAACATAAGCGCGCCAGGGAAAATCATGACCTTTTACGTCTTATTACACAGCGTGACTTTTTTTCTTGCCTCTGTTCTCCGTCCCTCTATCAATCTGCTTTCTCAATTTATATGCCTGTTTTCTAGCTCTCTCTCTATCTATCTATCTCTCTTTCTTTCTCTCTATCTTTCTCCTTTTTCTTCCTCTTCTTCTTTTTTCCTCTCTAACAAAATGCTCTTTTTTGTATTAGACAATAGGAGAAACAAAATGACATGACGAATAGGACGACTACTCCCGCCAGGACGACTACTCTACCGTTTCTAATCTATGATCCCTGGACTGGAATAAGGACTGCTTTGGCTCTTGGTTCCTTCCTACTTCTAATTACAGGCAAGGATACATCATATTATATACATAGACTTTTTAGATCGTGTTCACATAGCGCCTTCTACGATAAGGCTCTTTAAAAATCATCAACTAGAGGGCAGTTTTCACATATCAGAGAAGGTCCTCGTCGTTAAAAAGAAATTTTCTCGCACTTCCGCAGGTTACATAGCGTATAAGAGCCTAAGGCGGGACGATGACCAACAGGAGGATAAATATTTACAATACTACAGGAGAAAATATAGAATTGTCGCTCATGCTCAAGCAAAGGCCTTATCAATGCCACTAAGGAAACCGGAAGCGAAAGAGACGACGGTAAACTGGATTAAAAATCAATCGGACGCTGCTCCGCGTCGAGCTTGGTCTACTCAACAGGGGCATCCTTCAGAACAAGTTGCTAAATAGCCTCCTCATATATTTATTCAAATAGAAAGAGAAGAAAGTCTTTCATAACATATTTAGAGAGAACAAAATTAATAAGGCTTTCTTACTATTAGCATTTAAAAGTAGAAAGTCGGCTTTAAAACGGGTGTGAGCCGTATTTCGTAAGCATTATAGGGTAAAATTAGAACACTAGAGGTTCCATTAAGTAGCTTAAATAAGCAAAATAAAGGTCTTTTCGAAAAAGTTCGTGTCCTACTCGCAGATAGTTTCAAAACGGATATATTCCGTTTCATCTACAGGATATCATTAGTTACAACGGTATCGTTTAACAGAATCTGTTTTATATTATTAATAACATAAGTTAATTAGGATTAACAATTAATTTAGGCCTTAGGGATATTTGTTGCGTTTATTAGGTTAACTATAGCTAAGTTTATCATTTCAAGTTGGGAAACATTTATACTATTTTCCATTGACAATTTAAATATTTTAATCAATTTAACGTTTATTCTCTCTATCTCTCCCACTTTTTCTCTCTCTGTCTCTCTCTCTCTCTCTCTCTCTCTCTCTGTCTCTCTCTCTCTCTCTCTCTCTCTCTCTCTCTCTCTCTCTCTGTCTCTCTCTCTCTCTCTCTCTCTCTCTCTCTTTGTTATTTTTTTCTATTTCTCTTTTCTTCTCCCCTTTTTTTATTACTAAGCAAACTATTTACCAAAAGTAATAACAAAAAAAAGGTAAAAGGAAATAGATTATTGCGACAGTCTGAAAGATGCCCCACATTCTAGGCGAATTGTCCGTGTCAAAGTAAAACGAGCCCCGGTAAATCGCTGACTGAAAACACCGAAAGCGAAAGCCAAATATTGCGCTGCATTGACAGTGACGATGAGTTTAAGGTAAACCAACCAGATAACTTGCATAACGTTCTTATACACGAGGAAAAAACGCAAGATGGCGCTATGAGCCAGGAGGAAGAACTTCAACATTTGTGTTCATTCGGTAGTCCAAGGCGTCAAATAGAAACATTAATATAAGAATTTACAGAAAAGCAAAATGAGAAAAGACAATAGGTGACTACGGACCAAAGTAGAAGAAAGAAAGATGTACTTTTGTTTTTTATCCTAAGAAGATTAAATGTATAGTTCTTTTTGGGAAGGAAATTCTAAAGAAGATGATGAAGAAGAAGAGAAATGATAAAAGGAAAAAAAAAACAAACGAAGGAACCTTTTTAAAAATATCAAAAAATCTACAACAAGAACAAACATTTTGACTATTTAATAGACATTTTTTCATATTGGGTAGCATAGCGGAAAATCGCTAACAAAAACTGCAATACAAACCGGTTATTATCTGCAACCATAGTTGAATAAATAATTTAAATATATTCCGCCAATCAAAAAAAAGATATAGAAATAAGGAAAAATAAAAAAACAGATATATCGATTCAACGACAACCGATTTTTCCGGTTAAAAAATTCTTAATTTTTGAGTTAAACGCACGCGTCAAAAAGAGCTAATTGATACACGACTCCCTTTTATCGAACGATTATCGATTTCACTTTTTGATCGAATTACTATAAAAGTCTCGTTTAAAGAGTTGAAAGAGTTTAGACGATAACCTAGCTCATACTCCTGGATTTTAAAAGTTAACGGTAGAAATTTTTATTATTATTACTATTTATCCTCTTCTCACTTCATCTTCTCTCTACGATAAAGTATAGTATAAAACTTCTGTCAAAGTTGTATACTGTACATTTCAAAGAGAAATAGAGATAATAACGAAGACAACTGATGATAAGAAGTATATTATATTCGTATTAACAACAACAAAAAAAAAAGTTATGACAGATTAAGTAAAATCAGCAGAAAAATATAAATAGGCATTATTTAATAATCTTCATTTTATGATTGAATTTTTAAGTGAACAGACAAGGGAAGAAAGAGTAGTTAAAATTATATATGAACAAGACTGAAAGAGTAAACAGTTTACTGTGGGCGGATTAGAAAGAAAGGAGAACTTGGTACGTTACCTTCTCTCTCTCTCTCTCTCTTTCTATTTCTCTCTTTTACAGTTAAAAGAGAAATATAATCAGTTATAATTACAACACCATTCGTTCTACTAGTATAATCGGAATGGAATTCGAAATTCAATATCAAGTGAGTAGGTTTTTTCTAGTTTATTCGCCAAAAAAAACCAATTTTATAAAGATCTATAAACTTTATATCATAATGTTAGCTTTTTTAATGAACTGTACGAAATGACTTATGTCATATCGAAAAAAGAATTTCAAAACTTTAGTTTTCTTACTTCTTCTTCTCTAGTTTTTTTTTTAAATCTAATGTAGGCCTGATAAAAGAGAGATAAGACGAACAAATATGTCGATTATACTGAAGCATATGTAAAGATTACCAAGTACTTTCCTTCCCAAAAAAAAAAAAAAATCAATGTATTTCGTAATCGGTTGTCTCTTCGTAGTTTACATTTTACCGATTAGTACAAACAGTATTATACCACTTTTTTATTATCTTTCTCTCTCTCTCTCTGTTTTTATTCAGTTTGATCCAATAAAGAATATTTTTTGTTTTTAATCCTACATGACAACTTATGGTGTTTTCTCTCTTCCCTTTATTTTTCTTTCATTCTTTCTTTCTTTCTCTTTCTATTTAGGCTTGGTAAATCGTATATTGTATAAGGAACTTATTTATACGTGTGTATCATATATAGTATAAGTATTATTATATTAATTTGATAGTCGAATTGAATAGGAGATCGAATATTTACAGTTTTGTTGAGTATGAATATCACCTGGATAATTTCGATACCCAACCGGAACGATATAACGAATGTCGTTTCTTATAATTACAACGCAAATTTTGTATATTGAAATATCAACCATTCATAAAGTATTTTCCAGTCAAAGGCGTCTATTGAACGCCTCCAACTAGCACAATAGAAGGCCAACAACAGGCCTTCTATCGGATCGAAGTAAAACTATATAATATTCCTTTCCTAGTGCAATAGTTTAGTTGGTCTTTTGCAGTTAGCATTTCCGTTTTCTCGTTATCTGAAGGTGTTGATTGGTTTTCTTGAGATTTCAATTCAATCTCCGCCCCCTTTGGCTAATCTACTTTTCCAAGAGGGCGGTCTCATTGTCATTAATTCTTCTTTTGTAATGAATGAAGAAATTGGAAAAAAAAAGTGGTTAGCAGTTTGGGATTAGCGTGAGAAAAAGTCTTCTCGCCTTTGATTATTGATCGAATAAGTTTTATTATCACGTTTATCTATAATAATATGAAGTACTCGTTCAATAACTCGACTACTTTCGACATGGCTTGTTCGCTAACCGATACGGGTATTGTGGAGGATATTCATAGTACGAACTCAACTCCTCGTGTTCGACAGGTATCGAAACGGAAAGAAACTGGAATATCCTCCAGCAAATGGACTAATATTGCAACTAGCGTCGATGCAAAGACCGTTAAACTACCTAGGATAATTGTTAGGGATGTAAGCGGAAGAATATTGGATACCGAAACATCCTATCAAAAAGCCATCGCAGAAGCCCGTTATAGGATCAGTGTAGGAGATTGTGTTCCTCCCGATCCCGAACAGTGGAGACTTCCGAATGGACCATTACCAGCCAGACCCGACTACACTAGGAAATGCCCTCCCCTACTTCGACCACAATGGAGAAATTTTCAAGATTTAAAGAAAAGAGAATTACAATTGTCTTTACCAGACAATTTTAAGGTAACGATATTAATTAATTCAAATTGTTCTATAATCCATCATTAATTTTATTAATACGCTAGTCAAGAGCTAATTAATCCGGTTTATACTTTCCTTCTAGCTACAATAACAGGTTTTGAATTAGAGGAAGCAATTATTAATGTAGAATATAGGACTAAGATTATTGCTATGTACCAAACCTGATTCATATTACGTTGAATGGATTAATCGATTATTGTTTAATTAACAGTGAGGTGATAAGTCGTTTAGATTAAAAATTAAAATCTAATATACGTTGCAAAGTATATGAAGAATTTTATATAAAATTCTTTTCATTGTATATATCACTAACAACTTCCACGGAAGTCGAATGAATACTCTCTATTTATATAGTATATGAACCTATTTAGTATATATTGTTATTAGTTTTATATATAGTATAAAGATATATATATTAATATACTGTATATAAACACAAGATTTGACCCTTTATTGTCGTATTATGTTCAACAATACCGTAATTTTTGAGATTAAGTCAATTGTAAAGAATCAGTTGGTTTTAATATAAATACACTGTATCTAGGTTAAATAATGAAGAGGAGAATAGCGACGAAATATCAAAAAATACCTAAAATAGACTATATTTTCATCAATTTAAATAATGAATTCAACGATCAGGTTAATTTTCTATTTATATTCTACAGATTAATTTAAATTAACCAGCTTCGATAGTCTCTAAATCCTTTTTGTAAACTTTTAATAGAACAGCGTATTTTGTTCTCTTCCACCATTTTAGTTTTATGTTTTTTTTATTAAAAAAAACACACACACACACACACATTCACATAAAAAACGAAAATGATCTGTTCCTAATAATTATTGATTGAATAAACTGATAATTCTATTATCACATAGGAATCTTTAAGGTCTGATGAATATGAAGATCCTATTATTCAAAGGTACGTTATAGTTTTTGCTTAATCTTTTCTATATTGTTATTAATATTGATATCTCACTATGCTGTTTTTTAGAATATCTGTGGAGGATGGTGAATCACTTCCAGTTTTAGCTAACATTGAATGGTTAAGAAGATATCTTCGCGATCCTAAGGGACAGGGGCACTATGATCCAACATTCCTACCCTTCGTTGGCTTGGCTCCGACGGAAGAGAGATCGTTGCTCGAAACGGAAAGGAGGGAGCCCGATCTACCAATGCCAAAATTCTGTTACGGGTGCCGAAGAACAGGTCTTTGTTATGGGTGTGAAAAAGGCTTCCATCCGCAGTAAATGCTTCTTTTATTTTAGATATAATTCAATACCTAATTAATTAGTAGGTTAGATAGGTAAAAAGAATAAAGTATTATATCTATATATATTACTCATGAGGGAGAGAGAACTCTTCTCATAAATTTATAAAATATTTCATTCACGTTTTCAAAAGCTGTTAATATTTATAGATTTTTTGAGAACAAGGATATTTAAATTTATCATTTAAGAACAATGTAATTATCTATTCTTTTATCTTTTTCTTTTTAGCGTACACTCTGATCGCCCTGTTCGAACTGGAGGAGGTTTTACATATTTTAAAAGAGACGTTCCTTCATCCGAATTGACTGGAAGGAATCCCCTCTATTGGAAAGTTGCTTATGGCCCTCCGCCTATGTATGTTTTCTACGACGGTTAGTTGAAAGTTGTTAAATTATTAATAAGTGACATTCTTTATCTATTCTAAAAATCTAAGAATTTTCTATTGTGTTTTCGCCCCCTCTTCCCTACGTTCAAGATAAGAGAAGAGTACAGGAAAACATCGATGAATTCAATAGTAGAATGTCTCTACGAACAAGAAGAATTGAAGAGGAATCACCGCTACTGACAAGATCGGATATGAGGGCTCCAAGTCCTGAAGACTCCTACGAAGAATATACTGATAGGGATTCGGGAAAAGGAACAACTCTAGACGAAATTAATAACAAAAGCTTGGATAAGGATAGTAATTCGACATGTAAGTATGATATACAGTCTATATAATTGTCCTGTTCAGAAAGTATAACTTGAAGTTAAAGAGCCTATTATTGATATTTTTGTCGATAATAGGAGGAGCTGAGACTTTTCTCTCTTTCTATTTTATCGTATAAAGAGATCAATTTATTACTCCTACCTATCCAATCAAACATTCCTTTTTTTCTTGTATGCTTATTTTTAACTAAAAAACATAGACATATCTTTGTAAATGACACCGTGCAAATATTATATTTATCTTTTGCTTTACTATGTATAAAAAAGAAGAACGAATTTATTAAATTACAATATAAGGTCTTTTAAAAGTAATCAAACATAATTAACTAATCCCTTTTTGTAATATTATTATTTACTTTTATGGCTTTTCTATATTCTTTCTTCTTGTTTTTAATCTATCTCCATCTTTTCTATTTCTTCGTTTTGTCTATAATTATATATAAATCCATTCACTTTACATTATACGTTGTCTCTTTTTTTTTCACAGTCCGACTAGGCCCAATTTCTCAAGGTATTAAAGGTAAAAATCATAAAATAATACGAACAAGGGAATTTATATAATTGTTATACTTTGGCTTTTCACTGCTTTATTAAAATAAAGTGCCAGGCGTTCACGATGATGCTTCAGAAAGTGGTATTAGCGTCACTTCTCACCATCAAACTTCTCGATTACCGGTCTTGTCCGGTTCGTAATAGAAATTTCTGTTAAACGCTTGTTTAAATATTGATTATTGATTTTTTTTTCTTTTATTCTTTTAGAAGATAGAACCGAATCCGAAAGTGGTATTGATACAGGAAGGAGCGGAAAACATTCTGGATTATACAAAGGTACATGACAAAAAGAGAAGGATAACAGTTAAACATTTAATATAGACAACAAAATTCTATCAATAATCATTTAACATCATTTCTCTTTTTTAGATATGTAAAGCGTTTTCTCTCTTTTATTATATCTTATTACGTTTCTCCTTTACAGCTCCTAAAGCTTTTACTCCGAAGAGGAATAATAGAAAGATTACATCGGGTCGTAGTCCATTTTCTGAAGAAAGAGATTTTAATTTCGAATATGGAGATGGTATTAAGATCAAGAAGAGTGATAAGGAAACTACGAAATTCTTGGAAATCGACAGGGGTGATGACTCTTGGAATGTTGGTTCTAATTAAATATTTTTTTAATGTTTTCTTGATTTATATATGAAAGAAATGTTTCGTATTAAACAGGAACCTAAAAAATTCGAGACTAAAAGTCGAGAATCAACATCAATAAGTACCGGCGAATCAAAACGGAAGAAGGAAGGAAAACATACTCCTCAAGTAAGCGACGAATCGGAAGACAGATCAAAAAGGTTTGTAAAGATAAAAAAACACCATAGATTAGCAGGATATCTCTTCGCTTTTATAAAGTAGATGGGGTTACTAGTAGTATTATACTCTAAGACCTAAGTAAAAGCAAAATAATAACAATTTATAATAGCTTCCTTCCAAAAATATTTTATAATAAAACTTTAAAGAATAAGGCAAAACAAACTACTTAGAAGTAAAAAAGAGAGAGTTTTATGTGTATCGTATTCCTAAAATAATATTATTCCATATAGAATGAGTTAATTAGATATTGAACAGAGTTCTTATAATATTTTCTTATATCTGCTAGAATAAAAAGGGACAGTCAACCATCACCTGTTAAATCGGATAGGCAACACTCAAAAGATGGTAAGTGATAGATTTTTTTATATATACTGTATATATTAATATATATTATAATTATATAATATTCAGTAATTTATAGATATCCACCTCTTTTATATTCCCTTTTAATCAATGATTATAATTCATCTTAAGGAAATTCGTTAATTAATCCAATAGTATTATTTTATAATGGTAACGTTCTCGTGTATTTTTATTATTAGTTCTTTTTTATTTGAAGTTCTTTCCTAAGCATTTTAATGAACATTCCTTGTAAACGTTTAAACTGAGATAATCGATTTTACATTGATTATTGGATAGCGTGCGAGAAATTCTTTTTTCGTTTTTGCGCCTCTCTTTCTCTTAGTTTTTATGGACGATTCGGACGTCTAATAGTTCAAACATTGTTTAGAAGTGGACAACTATTCGCGATCGAAGAGTAATCTTTCGCGATCGAGGAGTAGTATTAAGGATACCTCAAGCATTTTAAAACGTTCAAAAAGCGGAAATTCTGAAGATACTTTTATAAAAACATCTCAGGAAGGACGCCCAAAAAAATCGGGCGGTGATAGTGGTGGTAAAAGCGTTGAATTTCGAGGTGATTTTATTCAGCTGTTGTTTGTACTCTTTTTTTCCAGTGCTCCGGATTGTTTTTTTTTTCCTCTTCTATATTTTAATTCATTACTCTTTTCATCAATTTTTCCATCTTGAAGTGGCTTTAAAACATTATTTTACACTTTAACATTTTTATAATCAAATTTTTGTTCTAAAAAAAGAACGTTCCATTTTCGTAAACGAATCTTAAAAAATTTTCGTAAAAAAAAAAGAAAAGAAAGCGAGCGATATTAGCAAATTACTATTTTAACTAGAAGTTTGATAATATTTAATGATTATTGTTGATTTTAAGCTTTCTCTCTTTACATTAAAAATATTTTAAAATTACTATTAATATTTATTTATTTAAAACAAAATAGAAAGGAAAGAGAAACATAAAGATCTATTTTCATATTAATTTTTAAAGATTACTTTTAGAAAAAAGCAGAACTTTTCATTTTTAATAACATTATAAAATATTTTTCTTTGTTTTCGGTTTGCTATATAAATGAAAAGAGTTATTATTATTTATGCAAAAGATTATATGATTTGATGGTGTGGTTGTTTACATTATGATATTACTTCCCTTCTCTTTACGATTAATATTATGACAATTGTTATGGAGACGATTTTATGTGTGTGTGTGTGTGTGTGTGTGTGTGTGTGTATAAATAAGCTTTAATTTATTCTCTTCCTTTTAATTAATTAATGAAAAAATGTGCTATAATGACAAATTTCGATTTGAAATTAGAACTAAAGGAAAAAAGCGGGAAAAAATCGTCACCTATTCATGATTCGGTGACTGGTGATATAACACCAGTGCCATCTGTTGGTAACGAAGATCAAGATATTAGGGAAAACAATATTTCAACCCCTAGTTCGATTTCTCTAGAAATTAAAGAGGAAAATGACTTACGTTTGCCCTTAATACAGAAGGACACGAATCTAGTAACCTCAGGTAGACGGAATGGTGTAATCTCTATCCTCATTTTAATTTTAAAAAAAAAATACTCTTCTCGATTAACCTTCCTCCTAAAAAGTGTCTATTCACCCATATTCTATTACAACAAAATCCAATATTGTGTGTCTTTTTCTCTTTTATACATATTTGTTTATTCTAACTTCTATTTTATTCATAACAAACCAAAACAGAACAACCTAAAAACTTTTGTTGATGTTTATTTTGGCTTATGATGATTTTGAAATTAATTTTTTTGCATAATTTTCTTAAATTTAGGCAATCAATCTACTTCTTCATCTGACAATCCTGATTCCAATAGCATACTTAATGAAAAGTCTGAATCAAATGATTCAAACCTTGATCATAAACTGGAAAATATAAACGATACTGATAAGACTATCAATTCTGAAAAAGAAAACGAAGAGAATCAAGATAAAAAGAGTCGGAGAGGTAGTAATAGAAAATTTGAAAAGAGAGTTAACCAAAGACCTAGACCTCGACCTAAACCGATTTTTGGTAACAAATTGAATAATATGGAATCCGAAGAAGGGGATGATGAAATTGTGGATCATCTCCCGCCTATACAAACTGAACAGAATGTAGAAAAATCAATAAAGGAAAAACAGCCCAAGTTATCAATAATAAAACGTAGTTATGGTCAAATTCCTAAAGATGAAAAGGAAAAGGAAGAAGGTGACCTAAGCACATAAAACCCTACACCTATGTAGTGTATTTTATTAGATCTTCAATTACAAAACTTAGCTTGCACAAAAAAATTTAAACTAAAAGCATGTGTTTTATTGTTGTTTCAGCACCATAAAATAACTAATAGTCTTGTCACAATCAATCCCTATAAATAGAATTCATCACTCTTTTATTCCTTTTGTCTACTTCCCTTCCCCTGCTCCTTCCTCCCGTCCATTTTTATATTGTATTTTATTTTTACGCCTTAGCTGCCATAACATATTAACCAAATATTCTATTTTTTGCTTCACTTTAACCGCACCGTTTACAGATAAAAATAGAGAAATTGCTAGTATTTATAAACCAAAGGAGGAAATAGAAAGAATTAGCAAGCGTTTACCTAAAAAAGTTGATAAAGGTAGCTAACGAAACATTACGTAATATCAACTTAAATGGAGTAAACTTGTTGTTAAAATTACACTTGATAAATTGGTTTTTTATATGGTTTCTTTATCTATTTGCTTATATTAAAATAAGCAAGAAGGAAAAGAAAAATAAAACCATTTACTAATTTCTCCTCTCACTCTAAATCTTCTATCTATATTAAATATTAAAAGTTTGCAGTGTTTTCTTATTTGAATGTGTTTTTGTATCTTTTTTTTTATATTAAAATTATTAATCTTATTGCTGAAAATTTAATATTTTTAGAAAGTTATTTCTAAAAATATTCCTTTTTTATTAAGGATTATTCACTACCTTTTTATTTCTTTCTATGTATTTCAACAGAGCCAATAGTCGATCACAATAAAAGCGAAGGTATATACAGCATTTAAATCTTTTTAATCTTCTTCAAACACCTCTTATAGAATTTATAATTACAGTTTGCAAATAATAATTTCAGATACTCATAACAAAGTTCGTCCATTATCTAAGAAGGAGCGAAAAGAAGGACAAGTTAAAAGGCCTAAATCTAAAAAGAGGGAAGAATTGCCTAAAGTTCCTCAACCTGTAAAAGCTAAACCTGTAAGAAAAAGTTATAATCATTTACTTAGTAATCACCATAGGAGTATCAGCATTTATTAAGAATGAGAATACCCTGAATAGAACTATTCTGTGAATCCGTTAATAGCTTATTGACAAATGTGTCATGTAAAACGATTTGCTAATAGATCTACATTATCAGATAATCGCTTAATGCATTAACGCTTTTTTAATAACATTTGCTTTTATAAAACAGAAAACACGTGAACCTAGTCCTGTTGAAAGGGAACCTTCTCTGTCTCCAGAGCCAGATGCACCCGCTTTCGAAAGAGATTGGACCCTGCCTCCTCCTATAAAAAGCGAACCGCCACCCTTGCCTAAGGCATCCCCAATCATACCACCGGCATTAGAAGACTATGAGGAATTAGATCCCCCCAAAAGGGAGATCTCGAAGACTAAAGACGATCACCCACCACCTCTATTGGAACCCACTTCCTTAAGAGCCGTAGGTGACGGAACGAAGAAAAAGAAAAGGAGGTATACACTGTACACATTATAATTATTTTTATTGGACATAGAGTTCAATTAGTGAAATAACAAGAAAGGAATAGAGTGCCATAAATATAAATAATTGAGCAAAATCTTGGATGTTACTTTCTTCTAGCCCCAAGATAATTGAATAATTTTGTGAAGATATAATTACTATAGTATAGAATTTCCTAATTGATCTATTATAATTAAATTGTCAATTCATCAAATTTACATTAAAAACTTTGAAAAATTTCGGGCTGACATCTTTTGATTATTATTAATCCTTCACTTTATAAAAATAGTTCGCTTTTATCAGTATATACTATATAAATAATATGTTGTATTTTTAGGGAGAGGAAGAAATTGAAGCCTCCTGCTTTTAATGTTGCACCAATCGCTAAACCTGATATAAAGGGCGTTGTTGATCCCTTAGATTACCTCTCTAAATATTGCATTATAACGTGAGAAGAATGCATATTTTTAGAAATTAAATCGTTGATTAATTAACTAAAATTTAAACAGTCCCGATAGATTACCTGTTTATGCTCGTGTTTTTGAAGAGACTATTGGCATGCAATTATATCCTTATTCTAATGTACCACCTAATCCTGAACACGTTAGAAACTATGATAACTCTGTCTTGTAAGTAAACAAAATTGACAAAAAAAGAGAACGAAACTATGTTATTAATGTTTATTCTCTCATTGAATAGCGCCGATGAGCAAATGCCTCAAGCTAAGTGGACTAGGAAGCCTGTTTTATCTGAAAAGGAGAAAAATAAGATAGACAATTATATACTAATAGATCAACCTTCGCACAATACAAGTCAAGTTTGTTTCTATTTCATAGCCGTAATTTATTTTCTTAATGGGAGTTTTGGAAAATCTAGGTTAAATCTGCAAGTGATCAAATGGTTGATAAGATCAACTTTACCAACGATTCTCTTTTAGAGAAGTATGAAAAGTTACAAGGAGAACTTGAAAAACTGCAAAGTATATAGTTGTATATCTTCTTCGTTTTCTTGTAATAATTTTATTAATTATCCTATAGGACAAAAGATTAAAACTATCCTGCAAATAGCAAAACGAGATTATCAGCAAATAACTATGAAGGACTATAAACCGGTGAAAGATAAGAAAAAGAAGAAAAAGGTTAGTTTGCAACATATATCAAATATATATGCTATATTTATGGACGAATAGGCTTTTTACAAATTGAAAATGTATATACTGCAAAAATTAACACAGAATAAGAATTCGTCTCCAATACCTACTTTACCCAAAAATATCTTCGATCCATCCCCAAACGAAACAGCTCTAGAAAAGAGTGAACGTCTTAATTGGCTTAATTTACACGCGGATGATGACGAAATATACTCAAGAATTAATCAAAATATGTATTCTACGGTACCGCAATAAATTCTTTTCCTAACAAATTAAACTCAGTCAATAAGTGATTAAAACTAAAAAAAATCATTTACAGATTTGCGAAGATGAGGAAATGAAAAGGATTGATTTATTATTAAGGCGAACTACAGATAAGTTAAAACAGGTCGATGATAGAATTGAAGATTTAGAAGATGAGAAGAAGATGTTGTTGTTAAATAGTCGGGATATCTATGATATAAACATGACCAAAGAAACGAAACCAGACGAATTTAGGCGAAGACAGAGTGTTTTGTATCAAAATGTCCATCCCGCTGTCGTAAGTATTATAGTTGTTATAGCAACCAATTAATAATACAGACTGACCGATAATATCATTAAAGGACTACGAAATGAACTTTTCGGAGTTAGAGGAGGCATTGCAAGACATTAATAACCATCTAATTACAGAGAATGAATTGAAATACATTTATTACGTAGGTTCCCTCTTTATTATTTTCTTTTCATTATAGAATTTAATAGGAAAAAACTTAGTAAATATAATTTTTATGGACATAATTAGATATTGGATGTTCCTGGTAAGAGGCGAATAAACATGCAATTATTCAGTGTAATAGCTGCCTTAAGCGAAAAAGTAGCCCAAGTTGAGTAAGTATTAGCTATATTATTTCATAAAATTTGCATTCTACCATCGTAAGATAATCTTCTAAAAAACAGCAATTATCTACCAAATTACCCATTGTACAATTATTTTCTTTAATGTTTATACAGTTCACTTGTTCGAAATTTAATCAATAAATTTAATTATGAGGCACTTGATATAAAAATGGAAAAGGCTAAAGAATTGTTCTATTTATTGGACGGGGAAAATAATTATGACGTTCCGGAAGGTAAGGCTGGAGCCAACAATTTATTGGTGGAATTAACTGCTGGTGGATTAACTTCCGAGCATGTTGAATTAGTCGTTCGTAAATTCAATAGGGACCAAACTGGTATTATTGATTTTCTAGACTTTTTAACATATATTCCATTATTCTTAGAAATTCATTCAAGGATCGTTGATGATCCATTAAATCAAGAAAGAGATTTATAATAAATAAATAAATAGATAAAAATTATCTATTGATGCATCTTAAAGTATTTTTTCTAAATATTTTTAACAGACTTTTTACCATATCATACCATCCTTCTGAATATGAAAGATTTCTTAATTTGTTCCAAAGCGTTAGATGGCGTTACATACATTTAGAATGCAAAAAAAAAATAAAAAATATAACAGAGAGCAACAATATACATTAAACATAAGGATTTAGCCGTATTGAAGTCTTTGGTATTTGAATACTCTTAAAAAGGATAAAAGTGAAAAGAGTAGCTAACAGCGCAGTTACCCATTTATTATTATTCTGTAAAATTTAGATAGACAAATTAAGAGTACTTAAATAACTTCAAAAGAAGGGGTGTGTATAACTGCGAAGAACAACTGTAATGTTACATAGCTTATCAATTAGATTTTTTTAACAAAAAAGAGAAAAAAATTAAAGAACATCTCAAGATTTTCTTGTAATCCTATTCTAAAAAATGTCAATCAAGTATAAAATTCCGGGAAAGAATTATTAACAAATTAGTTTACCATTTTATTCTTAATTCCTTATAACCTTTCCTCGCTAAACCATTTGCAGTAGCTTACTTAGTATTGTCAAATTCAGAATTATTTTAAAATTGTTGTAAAATATTAATAATTATATTTAGCTGATTATAAATTCAATGCAAGGGCTCTTTCTTTAGTATTTATTCTGCCTTCACCAAATTCAATACAAATTCTTAAAGTATCAGCTTAGGCCTTCGATTTGTTCTCTCTTCCTTTTCTCGCTCGCTCACTAGCCCACTAGCTATCTCACTCTCTCTCACTCTCTCACTCTCTCTGCCTTTCTCACTCTGTCTCTTTCCCCCTTATCTATCTCTATATCTATCCATTATCTAACCATCTATCTCTCTTTCTTTTATTTTCAGTTGCTATATCAATTTAATTCTCCAGTTGTTTAATAATACATATATTAAATGGAAATTTGAGAGAGAAAGAGCATAAGCAGATAGAGTTACAGAACGATTTTAAATCAAATTGTTTATATATTAACTTTTAACTTATTGCTCTCTGAATGTTTTCGAAAGTCCATTCCGATTCTTGAAGTGATTCGCCAACAGTAAAAGGTCCGTGCATTATTCTCTCAAGCGTTTTAACATGACCACAAGTATTTAAATCTAAAAAATATAGAATGCAAAGAAACATTACTAAAATTTGATTACTATAAACAAATTAATAAATAAGGAAACATAATAAAGACAACATAGCATGACTACCATTTGCCAAATCTCGAGCAAGACTTCTTACGTAAAAACCACCTCCACATTCCAAAACTGCAAAATAGATTAATACGTAATTTTGCAACCATCGTAGTTTGTTATCATGAAATAGAGAAGAAAAATACTTAGTGTAACCAGGGGTGGTTTAAACTCTAAACATTCCGCTGATTTTAATAAAACTTTACGAGGCTTAATAACTGGAAGAGGTTGTCCTTCCATAACTAAATCGGATAATCTTTTACCCTTGAATTTTATAGCCGAATATCTATAAGAAAGAGAGAAATTGGTGTTTATTGTATTTATATATAAAGAAAACCTTTTGTTTATAATATTTATTCGAGTTTGATTAAGAATATCTTACAACGGTGGTATCTGTTCGGTATATCCGAGTTTATTCTCTATAGACAATTTTAATTCTTCTTTATTGACGTTTTCTTAAATAAAAAAAAGAAAATTATAAAAAGAAATTCGTGTCTTTGTTACTTTTCTATTGTTAACGAAATAAATAGGATACAGCCGTAATAGTGGGAAAACGTGTTGCACATTTACAATCAAAGTTTACCTATAGAAATTTTAGAGGAGCATACAAAAATTCTAAAAAGAAAGAAAATATTTCGCTTATTTTTAAAATACAAAACTAAAAAAGAAAAAAAAATTGATAGATAAATCCATACTTAAATATATTTTTAGATATATTCTTTTCTCTATTAATTCTAATAAAACGTTACTATTTTTAGAAATGTTCGAAGAATTTCGTTCTTTTGTTCTTTTAAAAAGAACGTTCTTAAAAACTAATGTTGACATAGTTTTTGACATCTGATTGTTTTATCTTTAGTAAATATGTCAAGATTGATATATTTATAAATTTTGCGAATAATAGCTGAGTAGCGTTAATGTTTCAAGTTTGATTTAAAAGAATGATTTAATCGTAGGAAGTAAAAAGAAGGTAACTAACTATTATTCAAAACTCTGACGACACGACCATCTGCATGTAAAGTATCAGTTTCAACTCCAAATTCTATTGTACATTTATAAATCTGTGTGTGGTTTATATCAAAGTAATAATTAATCGTTTTTTTATAGTAAAAATAAGGGAAAAAAGTAGATTTTAAGTTTCTTTTTACGAAATTTTTATAACCTTTGTTCCATGTAATAAAGCTGATAATTGTTTACATCCATCTCCTACGCCTACTGCCAAAACGCCTGAAGCTTGATAATCTAATGTTCCGCCGTGTCCAACCTTCGGATCTAAAAAATCCATATCAATTACTGAAGATAAAAATTAATAGTAGTGTAGTACGAAATCGTATTTGCTACTTATGCAAATTAGTATGATGTTGCATTCTTTTATTTAAAAAAAAAAGAAGCAAAAAATTAGGTCAATTACATTTTGCGTACGTTTCGTTGAGAACATTCTTTATTCTCTTACAAACTTGTGCACTAGTAATTCCAGTAGGCTTTATTACAGAAAATACTCCGTTTAGTTTATTCATTCGTATTGAACCGAGCGATAATTGACATATTTTGAAAGTACTCTGAAATGTTTATTTCAAGGGTAAAAGTTCTCTAAGTTTTACCCTCTTCTCTAGTCGCTAATTCTCTATGCAAAGTAAAGGCTTCCTGTTCTTATCCGGTAAGGATTTAGCTACAAAAAACACATGGATAGATACAAAATTTCTAATTTAAGAAATAAGGGAATCGTGCTACTTCCGGTTTGAGCTAGGACTAATCTCAGCAAGAAAATTTTGAGATATATATATTCAACAAGGTGTCACGATATAGATAGTCTATTTACATAACTAACATTGAGTTTAATAAAGATATATAAAAATAAATAAGAGAAACAAACTAAATGGCATAGGAGTGTTATTGAAATAAAATAAAAAAAAAAGATTACGCAATAGAAGAGAAAAGTTATCAGTAATCAGAAAAAATTTGTTATAAAGAATTTAGGCCGAGAGAAAATAACCGGCCAATTGCGTGTTTATGTGTGTCTTGATGCCACCTGAAACTCGGGCGCTTCTCATTTATTGCCTATACGTTGCACGCTTAGCAACACTGTAGCCAATTTGATGGCTAACAATGATAAAACTACTTCAACTATGAACGAAAAGTTAAACTTTCCTACTAGAAGGAGAAGTTTACTAGAAAGGCTTATACCAAATCGTAAGAGAAGTTTGAGGGCGCAAACATCAAAGAGTTGCGATAATGTTTTCGAGGAAGCTAATCGTGAAATTTCACAGAACAAAGTAAAACAGAGAAGAGCTACTTCGGATTCGGTTGAAAATCTTCACGTTCAGCCTCGCCCCAGCAGAAAAAGTAGCATCTTTCGTCATTTTCAGCGTAATGATCATATGGATGTTCACCAAGATATGAACGCTATTCACAGACATTCAGTTACAGTAAGTATTTACTTATGGAAATCTCTCTTTTTAAATAGAGCGCGTAAAACCCTTACCTGTTTCCCTGAAATGTTGGGTTCCTGTTCCGTTTTCTCAATTGCAGTACGCAAGTCGTACCTGTACACCATATCATGCCATACTATCTTACAAAATGGCCGAAAATGTTTATAAAATCGGTCGATTTTCGTTGAGACATCACTTCAAAACGTTTAAAACAACAAATGTAGTTAGGCGATAGACGGAGATAATTCTCAACTGTTAATCAAAGGTTCATACGCTTCTTTTCAGTACGTCATTTCTTAATAAATTATCCTACGTACCACCCAGTATCACTCTATTCTAGCAAGTCACAAATTTCGCCCTAATTTTTCAGATGACCAGCATGTTTGGTACAAAGAAACACGCCGATCTGAAGAAACTTATCACTAAGCTTAAAGATAGCAGCAAAGGAATATTCGGAAGAATCAAGAGTTTAAGAAACGCCCTATGTTTGTATTTAAACAACTAATACAATTTGTTTAATTAATAGATGATCACTTCAGGTGAAGCTGCAGAAGCTGAAGCAAGTGAATTTCTGCGAGAAAATTATTACTTAGTATTTTACTTGATCTCAGATGCTTTTGAACATTTGGAAAATATCAGTACGAAGACCCACAAGAAAGGAGATGAAGTCGATGTTACAATCGAAATGTTAGAAAGATTAATTATGGAAAATCCTGATCCAATATCAATAGGGTGGCAACAAAACGGTATGGGTAGACTAATTAAACGCTTACTTCATCCTAACAATTTGAAGGAAAAAAGAGAAATAGGAATAAAATTATTCCTAGAGTGGTACTGCATAATGAGAGATTCTTCCTCAAATTTTTGTGATCAAACCTTCCAAGATCTGATTCCCTCCGATTTTAATAACCACAGCCTTAACTTACAACATGACTTTATATTTACACCTGGCGAATTTGCTCTAAAAATATCTCCTGCTCCTTTTAATCCCATAGTTGTTAAAAGTCCGAATGAATATTGCGAATCTCGCGAGTTAATGCGAAAAATGCTGGATTTGATCATCCTAAGTCCGGATTCCATTCGTTGGCCTGAAGCCTCGCATAAATTGAAAGCTCTTAATTTTTTGATGAATCGCCTGAAGAAAGTTTACGTAGGGAAACTATTTAAAAATTCGCCATTATGTAGTATTTATAACACAAATCCACCCCCTCACCCAGACAAATCAACAATGGTCAATGATCCTATTGACGGGGTACGTGAAGAATTATTACTGTGGTTAGCAAAATACGTGTGTAGGTCTCAAGATATGGCTATAAGCAACGTGAATGAAGATCTGATACACCAAGTAATTTTTTCATCTCGTCATTCAGTTGATGTAGTACTCGATCTATTCCGGTATGCCCTCTTATTACCTGCATCATGCTACTCTATCAAAAAGCAAATTCTATATGTCTACACTAGTTGGTTTTTGACACATCCAAATGGTTCACAGGCTATGCCGCCCATCTTCTTTAATCGTTCTGAAGTTGAAAAGACTCAAAAAATGTTTGAAAGCCTCCCGTTAGAACCCAATGTAAATAACAAAGATGAGAGAGATTCGTACGTGCCCTTCCAAAGGGCTCTAACTTGGTACATAATTCATATCGCCGGTATTTTACAACCGTATAAATGCTATTCGGATCTTGAGCAAGAACGACATTTGGAATTGTGTTCATTAGTCATTAATAATTATAAACGATTGTCGCAAGAAGTTCGTCTGGAGAGAGAAACATGGCATGAATTGTTATTAGTTTTATTAAGAAGTACTGACATCTTAATGGTGAAAAGAGATGCGTTCACAAACAACCTTGCTAAACAGCTATTTAGCGTAAGTTCGTTATAATATATTTTATACACGTACTATTACATATTAAAAAAGTAGATGTCAACTCCCACTAGTCTGGAGAATACTATATTAAACTTTATTAGTTATAGATTATATCTAATAAATATTCAGTGGGCTCCAAAATAAGATTAAGATAAAGCCAACAATTACGTCTAAAGTATTCGCGTAATATGTGCCAAATATTTTACAGATTTATATTATTTATTACAGACACTTTTAACTATTTGGTTAAAAGCTGCTCAAACTGTCGAGATAGAGAAGGGGCTGTGGAATAGTTTACTCTCGTCCTTAAAGTCCTTAACCAGGTGGAAAGAATTAATTGATGAATGGTCATCTCGTCTATTTGACTTGACAAAGGATTTAGCTGTGAAAGTCTACGGAGTAGAACTTCCTGATGGAGACAAGACCAAACACTCTGACAGGATAGCAAGTCGTCAAAATAATTCCTTAATAAGTCGAGTAAACACAGAAATTGAAGGCAGAAGCGGATTACCTCCTCAAGAATTTTCGCCACAAAAGGTTAAAGCACAAAAGCTCCTTCAAAAAGAAAAGCGACAAATATCTGGTGAAGCCACACCTGGTAGTAAATTATCCTTAGACGATGAAGAACCACAGCTATCTAAGTGGCGATCCGATAGTGACTTAACAGCTGCAGATGATAATTGTGAAACATTACCTAGGGTAGCTAGCCATACAAGTGTATACGAAGCAGCAAATGCATCTCCTGCCAAAGAAATTCGTGCAATAAAATCTCAGGACACAGAATATAGTACTAGTATTATTGGAGGTGAAGGGTTAGAAGGGGCAGTCGTCTTGTGGAGACGATTCGTTGGTATTCTTGGAAATGTAAATGAAATTGAAGAACCCTATTCGTATGGGGAGATAGTAAGGCAAATTGAGAGAATTATTGGTAAACTTGAATACGTGAGGGATAATATGAAATTTGATTGTGACGTCTATCCCCCAATTGCTTGGTTTTCATCTTGGTTGTTTGCTGCTCTTCGTTTGGATGATAGTTATCAAAAGGGTAAACTGACAGCCATAAAACTACTCTGTAAATTATTATTGGACGACCCCAAAGCCCGTCATTCTTTATCGTTTATAAGCCGTTTTATTCACACTATTCACACCGTCCTTCATTCGGGCAATGATGAATTACGTAACATAATTGTCAAAGAATGTTCTTCCAAGATATTGAGTGCCGACGTTGCTGGTGTTTCATTACTATTCTCTCACTTGGCTCATGCATCTTACTCAGTCTTAGAGAGTAAAGATTTAAACCAACCACGTAAAGAAGCAGTTTCACTTTTATTTGGTCTTCTAAATGTGCATGATGATTCCCTACCATCTTTAGATCCACGTTGCCTAAGTCCTGCTTTAGTCGAATGCAAAAACCTAAAAGAGGATATTATACAGAAGTTAATTTATTATTCTAAAACTGAGCAGTCTGAGGATGCAAGAATTGTCGCATTGAACTCAATTTCATCGTTCACTTATAAAGAACTTAGTATTTGTTCACAGGATCGCTTTCCTCATCCAGTTGTGAAAGATAACATACACGTCCTACTAGCAACCGTTCACTCTGAAAAGCTGAAACAAAAATCCATTAGTAGGGTGGCATGTGACCTTCTGGTTATGCTGGCCGAAAAAGTAGATAAAATCTTAACGTTTGTTGCGGACATTCCTGGAAGAGTGATTGAAAGTCTCGTTCATACTCTTTGCACTCTACTAAGTAAACCTGATGAGAAGTTGACCGTGGGGGTGATGTTAACTTGCTTAGAATGGGTCATGAGATGCCCTTTACCACTGTTATTAGATAACGGAGCGGGAGCCTATAAGTGCTTCTTACAAAAGGTATTCAGTGCCTTGGAGCAGGCCTCTTCTGGAGATATTCAACCAAGACCAGATGAGCCATCTATCGTTTATGAAACCATTGAAGATGTATACAGTAGCACGAAGTTTAACGATGATAATCAATTTAGCATTAAACTCGCCGCTGATGCCGTAATAAACAGCTTAATAAATCTTCTTGGCGTTTGGCCTATGGGTGGTGGAGCTGCCCTTTTGCACAGTCATGTAAACGAGGCTCATGATAACGTTAGTGATCTGAGCGGTGAATTTACCTCATCTATCTTAAATGCAAGCAACCTTCAATGGCTGGTCTCTAATGGAGGGTCTGTAATATCTGCAATTCAATTGCCACAACATTTGTCAAACGGTGGTGGGACAGGGGGATTAGTTAGGGCAGAAAATCAAGCGAGATTCTTAATTAGAAATTTTATTGGAAAGTATTGCTGGGACGCAACATTCGTTTACGGAATGGGCAACTGTCGTTCGGGGTCATATACCTATTCGAATGAAGATGTGAAGCCATTGTCTAATAAGGCGCTAACTTATCTGACAAAAAGTGATGCCTTTGCAAACAAGTTCAATGAACTGGATTCTTTTTTATTGTATATTGAAGAATCTAGTCCGGAATGTAGGCTAAAACCGGGCCAACCCCTTGATTCTCCATATCCCTTGCCCTCGTACTTCGGAAGCGAAGCAATTGCTAACGCTACGAAAAGTTTGACTAGTCAGCAAGCAGCAGAGAATGAACGTACATGGACTAACAGAAACAATCCAAGTGTAGTGGCTAAAAGAGCCGACGCCCAAGAAGTAGGACCAAGAACAAAATTTGAAGTCGAATGGCCTTTTTGTATAACAAGATTATTCCTCTGGCATTTGGGTTTGGGACCGATTGAAAAAAGGCAAAGTCTCGATATCCTTGAACAAGGCGACCCCTTAATAAGACATTTGAAAAACATCGATAAGCAGTTGTGCAGGGAAACACATAAGGTTGGATTACTTTATGCAGCCTCTGGCCAAAAGACCAAAGCGGAAATGCTCGACAATGATGCAGGTTCAAGATTATTTGAAGATACTGTCTCAGGCCTTGGTTGGGATGTTGAATTATCATCTCATCCTGGCTTTACAGGAGGACTTTCACGTAACAAGTGTACAACAACTTATTATGCCTCTTCTTGGCAAGAATTAGTCTGGCATGTTAGTACGCGGATGGAGAGCGGCAGTGATGAAAAACGCCATCTAAAATTAAAACATCTAGGAAATGACGAAGTACTTGTCGTGTTTGTCGAAAAGGGAGCAAATTTTTCCAGGAGCACCCTAAGAACGGATTTTGCTGACGTTCTAATTATCATAAAACCGGCTCCGTCAACCAGACTTTCGACAAAAGCTGTCTCTGTTACTATCGACACAAAAAAGAGTAACATGCATGTTGGTCCCTTATATAATGGGGCCATTGTAGAGATTAGATGCTTGCCTCAGCTCTTAAGAGCAACCGTCCTTAACGCTTCTAGGAAGCTTCGATTTTTACTGCCTCATTTTAAGCAATTCTATGAGGAAAGATCTCACTACGTGAAGATGCTTGTTGAAGAGAAAAGACGAAGGTGCACTTTTGAAGATTTTGCGGAAGCGCTTTTTGCTCCGGTCTTGCCTTCTAGTCAGTTTTATTATTGATAATCAAACTCTTTTATAATCAATAGTCAATAACGTAATTCTCCTTCAATTGTTTACAGTATCAGTGCCATACCTGCATAAGCGTAACAGTCCTGCAGTAGAAAATAGCGACCACAATGCTGAGAGTGAGTTGTGTATTGATCATTTTTGATTTTAAAGTAAATTCTAATTGCTTTCACAAAGGTCGAGAGACTATGTTTACTTGGCATGGTCAAAACCTAAGTCAGTTTAGAAAAAAACTGACGTCTAGCGACGTTTAGCGCAAAAGGTTACATTTTATAGATAAATTTAGGAAATGGGTCATCTATATAAGCATGCCTGTAATGCAGTTAAATTTTGTCGGGCCTTAATAACGCTTAATTACAACCTTGTCATTTGTTGTATAACCGCTAATTAGACAAACTAAATTATTGATATATAATGGATGATGGTAGAGGAAATAGTAATAATTTCGTTCAAGCTCCCTTTTAAAAAGAATGCATGATTTATAACAACAATCGTTGTTCAAAGGTCTGACCTGAGTAATTCTAACTTTTAAAGCAACTGCTTATTTATCAGATAACGAACCCGGGGTCGATAAGGGAGAGGATAACTTAAGCGTCGATAGTATAACGAGCGCGGAGAGCGGTAACGCCAGTTCGTCCTCAGGAGTGGGAAACATGCTGGCACGTTTCGCCACTTCGGCTGTTCGGCGCAGTAATCACAGACAGATTAACAGTTGATTTTTATCAACGCTTTACGTTTTCTTTTTTTTTTTTTGCACATTCGTTTATGCTTTTATTTATACAAAATTGCATGACGTTATCCATTTGTAAAATCGCGTGGTGATTGAATGAATACAAAAATGAAAGAAATCAAAATTCATAAATGATCAAATATACTAGGCGATTTATGTAAACTTGGATTAGTGGTAGTCATATGGTTTTTCGCTTTTTTCGCTGGGGGTGTTGGTAAATCACCTCGCTTAGTCTTCGTAGAAGATGGTGAAGTGGCTGTAAAAATAAATCTATTCGATTTTCTTGCACTATTTTTCTCAGAAGGAGCTTTAGAATTTTCTCCTATTTTCGCTAAATCTTGGCGACGCCTAGAGAGCAATGATCCAAATGTACTTAGTGACGGCGATGGTAAAATTTTTGATTTCTTATCCCGTTTGACAGCTTCCATACCCAATTTCAAAAATTGACTTTCTTGTTCCTCTTCCCCTTCTTTTTCTTTAAGATCTTCAATTATTTTTTCTCTTTCTAATCGCTCTTTTAACATTTTTAAATCTTCTGGTGGATTGATTAGATCATTATTTGTTGCATCGTTTTCGTCACCTTCTTCGTCTCCAACGTCATCCTCTTTTCCTGCCCAATCTTCTAATCCCTTCCAACGAAATTTCCTTTTTCGTTTTGAATCGGAGTGCAGGTCTCCATCGGGTAGCAACAACTCTTGGTAAAGTTTGATGTTCCTATCGTCTTCGTCTAGCATGTTTTTTCTGGTTGAGTAAATAGCAAATACGTAAGAGTGTAATACTTAAAAGGTAGTAGTAATTCACTTACAAGTGAGCTCTTCCTACTTGATTTCGTAGCTCTTCCTCGTCGACATCTTGAAGATCCTTATCACCTTCTTCTTCAATTAACTCATCATCCTCTTCGGGATCTTCCTCCTCATCCGAACCAAAGTCTGAACCAGATAATTCCGCTTCTTTCTCAAAGAATTGTTCGACCTTCTCCCTAAACCATACCAAAAGCAATTTTAGTATAAACTAGTTAGTCTTAAAGAAATTAAATATAATACATACCGCTTAGAAGAGATCAACCCGTGATATTGATTGACGAGCTCCTCTTCATTATCACTGAATTCATCATTATCTCCGTCTTGCTCTTCGTCGTCATCATCAGCTTGTAATTGTTTTCCCGGAAACCTTTTCCGATCATCCTCATCATCGCTATCCAAGATAAACGCCTTTTTTACACGTCGTCGATCTCTGTTGAAGAACCAATAATTTTATTTACGCTCAAGAAATAAAGTATAATACTCGCGTTTCTATATCCGATTCATCGCTATCGCAGTTTACTTTTTCCATTTCTTCTTTTTCATCTTCTTTTTCATCATCTTTCTTGACATCTGAATTGACGGGAAACATTCCAGAGCAAATTTCGAGAACTTCGTCAGTTTCTTTCTGCTGTATCAATGAATTACCAAACGTTCCGGAACATAAACCCAATAATTCTTCTCCATCATTTTTATCAAACTTATCGATCGGTAAATCCGATACAGTTACGCCCTTCTTCCTTGGCTTATCCTTCAGCAAACTAATTGGAGATAAGCAATTAAAGCGGGTCAAAAAAGACAAGAATATATATATATTTAAGTTAACAAACCCGTCTTCATCTAGCAGAAAAGAATGTTCACTTCGAGAATCATCGTGTCTCAATTTTGGCGTTGAATCAGTTCGTCTTTGAGTTGGTAGGTCAGTTATGAGAGTATCCTGAGAATCGCCGCAAACACTCAATTTCGAACGACTCCTGCTACCTAATTTTGGTGTCGAATGGCTTATCGTCTGTGCGGCTGGGATTAGCGTTGCGTCAAAGCTCGAGTCAAGGCCGTCTGCTTTCAAAAAATTTGTAATTTTTCTAAGTGATACTCTAAACTGGATAAATTAGATTTGTACACTTTACCAATCTCCTTAGATGATAATTGAGAAAATGGTCTCTCGCTAACTTTACATTCTATTTGTAATACAATAAAAAAAATTGTTACTAATCCCTTTTTTTTTGTCTCTTAATGGTAATAAAACGTATTATGTAATTGAAAACCAACTCGTTACGACGTCGTCATTGGATCCAACTGTAGAAGGAGTAGACACTGCGTCATCAAACAGTCCTAAGGGTTCGCGTACGTTTTTCTTTTTAACTTTTGGACTTTGACTAGATTCATCATCAGTCTCGACAAGCATCAAGTCATTATCCTCTTCCACTTCGTCATCAATTAATTGGTTCTTGACCGATGATTCCTTAAAGGCCAGAATAATAATAACAACAACAAGAATAAAAGATTAGATAAAGAGAAAATCTTCATATGCTTAACGCAATCTGGTATACCTCATCTTCAAGTTCATCCTCATCTATTTCCTCATCCTCCTCAAATTCCTCGATATCAGTGTCGCTTTGATCTGTTAATTCTAATTCGTCCTCCTCCACGTCCTAGATGTAGAATGTTAAACATAATTAGAAAACAAATGCCCAAACTGTAATAGTAACGTACATCTTGCGTTACATCTTCATTATCAAGGGCGTATACTTGATGCTTCTGTTTTCTAAGGGCAGAACGTTTCTTTTTCATCTCTTCCTTTAACTTTTCCTGAATTTTCGCATATTGTATCCCTTTAAAAAGAGAGAAAAATCCTTCTCCTTATACCGTTCATTGGTTATTAACAGTATTTTTTATAATTAAGCCTATAAGCCAGCAAAGAGCCTATTAATTTTAAAAATTAACCTACTAGAATTGGTTTTATCTTCGTCAGAGACGTTCAACCTCAATGGAACTTTTTCCGCCGTTAATTCTATCCGGCCATTAACCTCTTTCTTCTCTATTGTACTGTTTTTTGTTGTTGTTTTTAAATTGAAAACGAAAATACGAATTAATAAAATAGAACAAAATTGTTTTAGAACACTGCATATTTACTTTAGATGGTAAACATCTTTCTTGTTAGTTTGCGATGGCTGAACGTGCTTAGCAGCACGTGTTTGAAGGTCAACTAATCCAGTATTCTCTTCTTCCTCATCTAAATCAATAATGGATCCTGAGCCGATGGATAAAGAAGGTTTACAGGATAAGTTTATCGAAGAGAGTTTCGGGGTTAATTTGGTCGTATTCTGAGTGAGAGTAGAAGATACTGGCGTTTTAGCCCTATTCAGACTTTCATCTCCGTCAATATCAGGTAAAACTGGATCCATATAAGGCAAACTAACATCCCCATCTTCATCGCATTCGAATAATTTCCTATGTATATCAATATTTTCTTTAACTGTAAAAATCCTTTCCTCCTTGTTTAATTTGTCGCAATTATTATGGCAATTATCGTCTGCAAACTTCTTTAAAGTTGGACTATTCCCCTGAGTAGAACTAAAAATAAACCGTAATGAATTTACTTTATTCGACCTTATAAGGGAGGAAGAAAGAGAAAGAGCGAGGGAGAGAAAGAGAGAAAAAAGAAATGTTTTTTACTTAAAATTTGCGTCCAAATCCTTTTTGAGGAGGGATGATCGTTTCTGTTGAGATCTTTGTAGGAATTCTTGTAATTTAGTAGTAGATGGTTTGTGATAAGGGATATTAATATCGGATTCTATAAAAAGAAGAGGAAGAGAAAAGAAAGGATGAAAGGAATGAGTTAATAATTATTTTAATTAGATTATTCCAATTTAATAAATAAACTTAAAAAAAAAGGAATTTTTAATTAAGAAATAAACCTCTAATTAATCTTTGCGTTTCACTCTGTAAATTCGTCTCCTTCGATTTCTTATTTACATCCGATTTAAGCTTTCTCTGACGATTTCCGCTCTTAGATTTTTTCGATGCGCCCTGCAGCCGAAATACTACTTAAAAACAAATTTCAAATCTGGAGGAAAAGATATCTATCACCTGAGCTAATCGCCTCCTTAGGCTCTCACTGATTGCATGTTCGTTTTCATCTTCGTTACTATCGCCTCCGTCTTCTTCATTATCACTACTAGAGGTCATTCCATTGTCATAAATCTTTGAGCATTTCTGAAAGAAATAAGAAAAAGAGTTAATTTGATAAAAAAAACAAGAAAAAAAAGCACAGCAAAAAGGCTCTGGAGGGATTCGAACCCTCGATCTCCTGTTTACTAGACAGGCGCTTTAACCAACTAAGCCACAGAGCCACTACGCTTTTACGCCAATTTTTATAGTATAAATATAGAAACTATATATACACATATGAGCATAGAGCAAAGCGTTTTCGTGTAATTGAAATTATTAAGCCATTCTACATGTGTTAACGTAAAAAAAAGAGGTTTCATTAAAAAATTCGCATTACTTTACTATTAGTTGGAGAAGTTTCCTCATCAGAAAAATAGGTAGATTTTTTTACTTTAGAAATTTCTTCATCTGAATTATCGTCGCTAAATTTATCGTTACAAGTTGTCTCTAGTTTTAAAGTCTCTATTTCGTGTTGTTCTTTAATTTCTTCTGACTCAGAATCTGAATCCTTTATGTAGGATGCCTGCCACAATTCGTTGTAAATTATTTACTATATTTTATGGTAAACAAACTGATTATTTATCAAAACAAACCTTGGTACGTTTTCTCACGAAGGATAATTTCAAATCGTCCTCATCGGATGATACTTGATCGTTATTATCCTTGGAAGAAGATTCATTTACCGGCGATTGAATTATATCCTATAAACGCAATATATAGTCAAAATTATGCTAAAATTTCCCTCTTCTTTTCTTACCTGGGTTCGTTCCGTATCCGTCATTATCATATTAAAACTTTCAACTAGATAATGTAATTAGATTACACCATTGTATACATATTAAAGTTGGCGCAAATTTTCAAGTTATTGTACTCTACGCATGCGCAACAATTTGCCCGTGGTTACGAGTTCCGATCAATTTCTTTAAGGTATACTCCATTACGGAATACATGACAACTAATTGAAATATTGTATTCGAAAAGAGAAAAGAAAGCAAAGACCAAACGAAAACTCAGCTTGAAAGATTAATTATATGTAATAATGGATAATTTATAAGCAAAATATGAGATTTTCTTTAATGATCATATTTCAAGCTATTTTTATATTGAAAATTTGGCGAAGGTGCCTGGAAAGAGAACTAAATTAGCTAGAATGTTTTCATCCGTAAGAAAAAAAATACCATTAAAGTAAATCCACTTCGTTAGACAGTATAGAAAGATAACACCAAAATAAGACGGGTAAGCTTTGGAATGGGAAAAGAACTTTTTGTTGGAAATCATTGAAGCTCAACCTTATTTAATCATATCATACTCAGAAATAGAAGGGAAGAGATTGAAAATATCCTTCGATAGGAAAAACAAGCTAAATTCTAAGACGTACCAATTCTATACGAAAGAGGGTAGACTGTAAAGGCGCCCAAATATTCTAAAAGGAGCTCTTAAATCGCGCTTAGTACTTTTATCGAACAATAATGCTGTAAAGATCTGATTGTTCCAGAAAGTATACAAACTTACGGAACGTAATGGAATCAAAGTATTACTGTTAATGTGTTATTATCTAAAATGCATGTATCACGAAAAGCTGCTGGCAGGTTAGTTCATTACATTAAGAAAAAAGGAAATGGTATAATTTCCCTGTCTCTACAGATGTCCTTTACAATTAATTGTTAAGTATGGAGAAATCTATTGGGCTTTCGGATAATATTGTTCAAGGTTAAAATTTAATTGAATAGGGCACATTTTAAGAAAATGCAAAAGATAAGGAAAAGCTTGTTAGCCAGAATACATCAAATAGGGAAAACAAGCATTTGAGCGTAAAAGCTTAGAGAATTAATTATGTTAATTATTTTTTAAAGAAATAACCAAAATCGTCTAAGAAGAATAATGTGAAAAGAAATTTATTTATAAGATGAAAGCTTCAAGACTGAAAAATTTCTGGAAGCAAAAGACGACGTTTCTTTCTACTTTGCTTTATATTTACAATAAAGAGCGTGTCTGTAGCATCTTTCCTTTGGATTACTTTTTTCTCACTGTTAATGATGATATACTTACTGAATTATCTTTGTAGTTTTATGCTTTGAAATTTTCTTTCGTTTTGTTTTTTGCCCAGTGTTTTTTTTGTTACTATGCATAATATTAATTCGTGTAAATTGCACATATGTTCTCCCAAGGTGAAATGTTTGAAGAAAACTAATTTCAAATTTTACGCGGGCTTCTCAAGTATTTACTGGGATACGAACTCCTCGTATTAATAATGACACCAGGTGAAATAGATCAAACGGTCGCCTGTTTTCTCACATTTACTAAGTTATCTAAGTTCAAGTTCACACATACTATAAAAGAAATGCTCTTTCTTCTCTTCCTTGCCGGTTTCATCGCCTTTCTTGCAGTTTTTCTATTTGCAGATGCCGATTTGTTGACTCTATATTATGAGAGATTTGGATTAAAAGCTGGTAAGGGAATAGGGTCTTGTTTACGTATTGTGCTCTTTAATTGATTTCATTCTGAAATTTATTTATTATTTAGACTCATTAAGGGGAAAGGTCATTTGGATAACTGGAGCATCGAGTGGAATAGGGGAATATACTGCTTATGAGTTATCCAAAGTGAATTGTTCACTTATCTTATCTGCACGTCGAAAGAGCGAATTGGAAAGAGTAGCGTCAAAATGTAGAACTCTCGGCCCAGTGGATGTTGTAGTGCTACCGTTGGACGTGACCGATGCAACGAGTCAGAAGAATTGCTTCGATAAAATTATCGAACAATTCGGGCGAATAGATGTACTATATAATAACGCGGGCCGTTCCCAGCAAGCCGACGCCCTTAAAACTGAGTTAAAAGCCGATCACGACATTTTCGACATTAATTTTATATATTGCATAAGTCTCGCTAAAATTGTTCTTAATCACATGAAGGAAATCGGTAGCGGTCAAGTTGCCTTTACTTCCAGTATTGCGGGTAAATTAGGTTCGCCCCGTCAAGCCATGTATTGCGCCACTAAACACGCATTGCACGGTTGGGTAGCTGCCACCCGTTTCGAATTAGGTGAAACAGATATTATACTCCAGCTACTATGTCCTGGACCAGTTGTCTCTGATATAAGAAAATGTTCCTTTACGGAAGTTTCGGGAAAAGAATTTGGTGGGGAAGATCCCAACGCTAAAAAGAAGATGTCCACTGAAAGATGTGCTAAGCTAATGGTAGTGGCAGTTGCAAATAAAATAGGCGAGAGTTGGATAACAAAACAACCAATCCTCCTAGTGACTTATATTGGACAGTATATACCAGTCCTTTTCGCATGGTAGCAGCCCTTAATTAAGTCTTTAAGTTTCCTCTTTTTAAACCTTCCTCTTTTTTTTCCTTAATGCAGGATGGCAAGAACGCTGTCGGGTAAAGTTGTGCAAAGGTTACGTTACGGTAAAAAGGACTAAGACGATTAACCTTTCTATCTTATACTTTTACTACGAACAATGAAAGTTATTAGACATGAAAGGTAAAAAAAAGCAAAATTGATATAAAACTACCCTTTCAGTTGATGGAGAGGGAAATAAATGAAATTATTCCACTTGTAAAAGTTATTATGATTACTCAGAGAAGAGAAACGGGGAGAAGAATGCTAGAAAACATATTTTGTTTAATATTCATAGCAAATCGCTATTGGAAAATGATTCTGAAATGAAACAATTCCGTCTTAAGAAAAAACAAACATTCTTTTTCCACAAAAGTGAATCCCCGTCAATCGGTAGTTTTGTCTAATATATATATAATCACCTGTTTCTCTATTATCAAAATTCTTTTTATCCTCTTTACTCCTTTCCCCTGTTAGTTCTAACATAAGCTTTAACGGTGTCCAGAAAAATCAGCCTATGATGACGTAATATAAAATTTTCTTTAGCATTACTAATCTACTTCGCATTCGTTAAATTATTATCTAGAAATAAAATAATCTTCAGTTTTTTCTCATTCTTTTCGAAGGTAAACAAAAGATTTTTTTTTCTTTATGTCTAATCAAACTAGTTTACTTATCTATAAGATTGCATGGTTGTTACCTATATTCGACAAAATCAAAATATTAACTTTAGTCCCAAATATAGGCTGACTATGACTAAGAACAATACAGATTAGTCATACTTTCTTACGCAATAATTAGGTGTAGAGTCGCAGATTAGAAAGTGTATGAGATACTTAAAAAATCTTGAATAGAATAAAGGTAAAAAATAGAAAAAAAAGAAAAAAGAAAAAACGATGATAGATTTAAGTTGTTAGCGGTAATTTGCTAATAGCTTCGTAAATACCCTGGAAACGGTACCGTATACGCTTCATTAAATTCGGTAGAAGTTCTTTGTAAAAAATCTATCCATTCAAGTGACTCGCGTGATGACGAGATTTTTTTTTATCTCGGATTACCTTACAACATAATAACCCGCAGTCAATAATATAATTCTATAATAAGTGGAGCGTTAAGACTAAAGACGGAAGAGGGAGGAAGAAAGAATGGAAGTTGGGGAACATGCGCAAAATTTATATTGTACATTTCGCGGGTAATGTTTGATAAAAAAAAACTAGACACGATTGCTGATTGGCTGCTGTCAATACAAAACGGTCATATAAAAGCCCAATCAGGTCGAGTTATATAGCAAATTAGTTAGTGTCGATATATTTTCACCTTCGTTCAAAAAATAAACTTTTTATATATTTATCATACTCAAAAAATAAAGCAAGAGAATGAATAACGCTGACGACCGAATATACCACGCTGTAATAATCAAAAAGGACGAGGAACTCGTTAAAGTTGCCGCCAGTTTAAGGGGCATTGCCGATACCTTTGAAGAGCAATTTAAGAGGAGGAGGACGTCGGCCACAACCTCTGCCACTGCCTTGTGCGTAATAGGTAGAATGATCCCCCTAATCTACCGTTTTTACCAGGATTATCTTCTCAGCTGATCAGCCTTTACATGAAGTATTCCTTAATGTATAATAAGACAGCAGTTATTTTTTTTTCAAGGTGAGATTGTTTTTAACGTTCTTTGTTCTTTTTTTTATTTATATATTCGAATATGATTATTATTTTCAAAACCTAGAGAATAATTAGGTTACTGCTTATCTGTCTTTAATTTTCTCAGTTCATTAATTAAATTTCAGATCTCAAAACGCTTTAAGAAACAATCAACTTTTGAGCTGATGATTCTGTTGTGTACATTACACACATGCGCATAAACAGTACACGGTTGATGATTAGATCATCATGTATACATATATATACATGATATACTTATATATATATACATATATATATATCTTTTATTTTTATTATTCATTAAATATTTTAATAAGATATTATTAATTATTTATTTTATATATATCAACATGCAATTATACATTTGTATAAGTAATCGCTTAAAAATGACTGCTTTCTCACCATTTTTTTATATCTTTTTTTCTTAACTTGTTAATTGTTTTTTTTCTAAAGAATGTTTTGTATATTTTGCTTTTGTATATTTCTTTTATTAT